TTAGTAGGAAATTAATTTAATAACATTACACTAATGCATGTGTTTGTACTTCTCAAGAACCTAAACAAAATTTTGGATTGCCAAAGATAAAATTCGTACTTTTTGCTTTATATTGTGATTTACGTGTATACAGAGTTTTTGTAGGGACTTGTGTTATATGATAAAATTGTTGATAATTTAATTTTACACAAAAACTCTAAATGCACTATTTATTTTGCGCAAACGGTTCGGCTTACAACTACATTTAAATTCCTCTTACAATTTCATACAAAGCTAAAAGTGTCAAAAAAGTCGGAAAAAATGTCGGAAACGTTTCTCGTTTTTATTTCATTTTTTTTCTATTTAAATTTAGTTTCTGTAAAAGATTAATAGCTTCCAAGTTGCGAAACATGAACCATCTCGTTCTTGTGTTTTTTACGATTGTCATATGGTCGGAGTTGATGGCGAAGTTGTATTTTGAGTATTTAAAATTGCTCAAGGATTTGTACTCAAATTTTTGTAATCAGATTTGGTAAAGAATGATAAGATGTACCAATTTTGGGATTGAAGTTTTTTTTGAAAAATTATTTTGTATGGTGGAATTTAAATTTTTGTATAAATATTCTTTATACATCTACAAAGATGTCAAGGACATTTATAGAATATATAATTGACCATTTGCTGCTTCATTAATTGCTGCTGAAGCAATTAATCTTAAGAGCAATTCAATAAAATTAAATGGTCTAGAGTTAAACTATTTCAATTAATAGAACACAATTTTGGTGGAAGTTTTACTGGTTTGTTTTAAATATCTGGAATTTTAGAGAAATATTTGGCGATTTTATTATTTAGTATGAAAACAGATACAATAAAGTATTTTGTGTTAAAATTGCAGTTTTGTAATACAAACGGTTAGACCACAAAAAATAAATTCAAACAAGAATTGCATTTTGATCATTACTTAACGTTGGTGGAAGTTTTTCTGGTTTATTTTAAATATCTGGAATTTTATGAAAATATTTGGCTATTTTATTAATTAGTATAAAAGTAGATACATTCAAGTATTTTGTGTAAAAATTGCAGTTCTGTAATACAAACGGTTTGACCACAAAAAATTAATACAAACAAGAATTGCATTTTGATCGTTACTCAATGTAGGTGGACGTTTTTTTCGGTTTATTTCAAATATCTCGAATTTTAAACAAATATTTGTCAATTTTATTATTTAGTACAAAAGTAGATATAATAAAGTATTTTATGTTAAAATTGCAGTTCTGTATTACAAACGGTTCGGCCACAAAAAATTAATACAAACAAGAATTGCATTTCGATCATTACCGAATGTTGGTGGAAGTTTTACTGGTTTATTTTGAATATCTCGAATTTTAGACAAATATTTGGCGATTTTATTATTTAGTATAAAAGTAGATACATTAAAGTATTTTATCAAAATATTATTATTAAAATTGCAGTTCTGTAATATAAACGGTTCGGCCACAAAAAATTAATACACACAAGAATTGCATTTCGATCATTACTCAATGTTGGTGGAAGTTTTTTTGGTTTATTTTAAATATCTGGAATTTTAGAAAAATTTTTGTCAATTTTATTAACTAGTATAAAAGTAGATGCATTAAAGTATTTTGTGTTAAAATTGCAAATTTGTAATACAAACGGTTCGACCACAAAAAATAAATGCAAACAAGAAGAGCAATTCAATAAAATAAAAAGTCCAGAGTGAAACTATTTCAAATAATAGAACATAACAAACATTCTTAATAGAATTTAACTCTAAAAACATTTTGTATTAATTTTTCTTCTGATATATTATTTATATTTTAATAATTATTTTTAAGTCTTGTATATTAAAATAAGCCACCTGGAGTTAAAAAAAAACTTACTAAAACTTAGTTAGGTGAAACAGATGTTCTTTAAAGTCTGTCTGGAAGCGTGCTATAAATTTAAAACCATGTACATATTTAAATATATATATATATATATATATATATATATATATATATAATTTTATCTCCTAAAGGGGATTACAGAGAATTTCATCTGTGAAATATGCCAGACACGAAAAAAGAATCTAGAGTACTACATCAACTGAGTAACGAGCCAAAAGTCGATCATTTGTCCAAAAAATTGGTACAAAAATAAGAAAAATTATTATATACATTTATAACAAATATTCTCTGTCTATTTTGACTAAAATTTGTTAACAAAAAAAATTTCGTTGTTAATTAAATTTTGCTTAAAATTTGACAATATAATTATCTCAAAATATGAGTTTAAAAAAAACTATAGGTCGAAATTTAATAGGTTTAAATTTAATATAATAACCCTAAACTGTCATGTAAATGTAAATACATATCAATTCCTAATTTCAAATAATAATTATTATCATTTTGGTGTTATCTTTGCTTTCAAGTGAAAAGCACTTTAACAGAAGCGATCTCTCAAATCTTCAAAGGGACGACTAATTAGTCCGAACAAACATTCAAGCACACACACATACACACACACATATATATACACACACACATATATATATATATATATATATATATATATTTATCTTCTTCTTCTTATATATAAAAATGGAGCTCTCGATAAAATGATTCACTAAAACTTGAAAACGGCTAAACCGATTTGGCCAACCTTAGTCTCGAAAAATTCGTGCTAATCAGTAGTTTGTCGGAAAGGTGAGATATTATTTCAAAATCGTGCAGAAACTTTACATTTTTAATTTGAAAATTTTTGTAGAAGCGTAACTTGAATAAAACAATGAACGGTGGCTAATACGTCAAATGTCAAACGTTTTTGACAGATGATGTTCAATCACGTTTAATAGGATGTTTATACGTGAATAATTATTTAATTATGATTAAATTGTAGTAAGTAGTTTTGTTTGTAGTTTTATTTATACACAAAACGTTAGTAAACGTTTTGACGTATACAAATTGACGGCTAAAAATATATTTTAAAAATATAAAGCGTTGTAATACAGTTATGAAATTATAGTATATTATTTCTTAATATGTGTACTGAATTATAAAAATATAAAATCAAATATGTTTCTAACAGAAGAAACTAAAAAATTGCAATGCACACTTGCATACTCTATTTTTATTAGTCGCGAATCGACTGTTGGATATGATATGAGAAGTACTTTTGAAAAATGTTTTAAAAATGTACAATATTATACTAGAGCTATGAAATTGTAGTATGTTATTACTTAATATATGTACTCAATTATAAAAATATAAAATCATATAGGTTTGTAACAAAAAAAGCTATAAATGTGCAATTTTGTAAACAAATGCACTCTTGCATATATAGTTTCCAATAGTTGCAAGTCCACGGTTTGATGAGTATTTTGAAAAATATTTAAAATTATAAAACGTTATACTAGAGTTACCAAATTTTAGTATGCTATTTCTTAATATGTGTACTAAATTATAAAAATATAAAATCACACATGTTTCTTACAAAAACAGCTATAAATTTGCAATTCAGTAAAATCATGTAATAGAGCCGCAAGTCTTACTACAAACTCAACAATATCAACTTTTTTGAAATGTTAATATGAAAATGCACTTTTTGGCATATTTTTCTCAAACACAGAATATACAGCGGGTCAGCTAGTATATATATATATATACATATATTTATATATATATTCACAAAATAAAGAAAGCTTCTGACGTCCACCACATTTTTCCTTTATTATTGTAGATCACTTGTTACTTATCCCACTTCTGCTTCTGTAATTTTGTATCACGGGCTTTTGTTTTCAATTTCCTGCATTTCTTAAATAAAAAAAAACTAAATTCATGATCATTTTACTTCGTCACTTTATTTCCTACTTCAAATCTGATTGATAGTTTGTCCTGCTGTACTATTAATAGTATTCCATTAACTGGTACTATTTATAGTACCTAGAGTAGAACTATAAATGCAGAGCACTTGAACTTGATTACTTTTCTAATAATATTAATTAGATGACTGCTCGCTCGATTAAGCCCACCAGGATATATATATTTATATATATTTATATATATTTATATATATATATATATATATATATATATATATATTGTTGTAAGAGGCGACAGCCTGTCAAATTCTTAATTAAACAGGAAGCAACGAAAGTGACGAATTGGACGTGAAATTGATTCAATTGGATTAAATTTCGAGTCCTACACTAATTCCAGACGAGAAAATAGAATGTATATATAACCTTCTTCTATATAAATAAAAATAAGTCGGGTTATAAGCTAAGAAAATTAGTTGTGCATGGCATCGTGCCTTAATGCAAGCTGCTGGAACTTCACGCACCGTAATTAAAAATTCGAGTAATGACATTAGTGAGAATTATCAGAATTATGCTTGGTTAAGTCAACGAGCAATTCTTGCCGCAAAGAATAATGATGTACACGCACTGAATTTCACCATTCAATCAAAAATTGCTGGCGATTTGGTGACATACCAATGATTCCGACTGGTCTTCCGTTTGACTTCAAACGATTGCAATTTCCAAGCGTTTGCAATAACAAGTCTCAAGGCCAATCGTTTAGTGTTTACGGGATAAATTTCAAATAGATTATTTAGAAAATCATTGTTTTTCACATGGGCAGTTATACGTTGCCTGGTCACGAGTTGGAAAACCATCCGCTTTGTTTGTGTTAAGGTCAGACCAAAAAACAAAAAATGTGGTTTACTAAAGAGCACTTCAATAAAACGGATAATTTGCGGATTCACTTTCATTTACTTAGAGAAGTTCAACTAAAAAACACTTCATTTTTGTAATCGAAATAAATTCATTACTGTTGTATAATAAAATCAAATTTTTCTTTTTCAAATATAAAACAAACAAAAAATTTCTTCATCTTTCTCACGAAACCATCTGGTGGCGAAACGGATTTCGTCGGGTTTGCTAGTAGTATATATAAATATGAATACCAGAAAATTCGTAGACTTAATTATTTCTTTTAATTTGATTTTTTCTATTTTTTCAGGAGCCTACGGTCGTCTAGCAATGGACGATATTTTACTCTTAAGCTCTAAGGATAGCAATGCTGCCTCTTTATGGGTTGACTATTTGACCACTTGCTTTGACCACATTACCAGGGGCAAGGCCAATTCTGCCAAAATCAGGTAGGGGAGAAAAAATTGCGAACATCATATTTTGTACAATGTTAAAAAATCACGAAATATCACGTGGGGGTATAGTATTTCAAATTAAATATTTCAAATTAATCTATTTTTAATAATCATTCATAATATCATCATTTATAATAATTCACAACTAATTTTATTAATGTAATTAATAACTATTAGTATAATTGATAATTTTGTATATCATTCGTTGTACAACTTTGCTTCCGCCGTTTTAACAATACGAGTTCTTTACAATAATGGCGGCAGCAAAGTTGTACATCTAATATATTTCCGATCAAATTTTAGGGTATACCGAGTTGTTGTAGGACTAAATGCTGTTTAACAATATTGTCAATGATTTAATTTTGAACAAATTTGCCGAAGACATCGTTTATTTCAAATGAACAGTTTAGAAGTTACAAGCGATGAAATAAAAATATGCACTTGATATACTAAAACTTAAAGTTTGTTAGGAAACTAGAGTACTTTATACTCAGATTTTTTTGGCTCAATTGCAATTTTAAAGTATACCGAGTTGCTTTAGTGTATGACTATCTTAGACAATATTTTAGATAATTTAGTTTTGTACAAATTTGCCGAATATTTGATTAAAATCAGACTTATCGTTTGAAAGTTACAAGACATTGCATAAATCAATATGCAGTCTGATGGGTGTAATGAGGTGTCAAAACATTTTGCGTTAAATATATCGTGTGGGGTATCATTTGAAAGGCCTCGATAGAATATATTTAAATGTGAAATTGAATGACATGATAAAACAATAGGGTTAGTAGGATATCACGGTAGTAGGATATCACGTGCATTTATTTTTTACCTCATTTATAAAAAAATCCAAACATTTTCCAGAAAAATAAATCGTTACTAAAAGTGTAGAAATCTCTCATTCCTAATATTTTTTCCAGAGTATTTCCATTTTATGCTGAAGATTTACCAGCAACTCCTTGTCCAGAGCTGGTACGTCGAATCAGGAGTGCCAAGTTGCTCCTAATTGTGCTTTGTCCTCGACTTTTGCAAAGATGCTCCGAAAAAACTGAAGGTAAGAAAGGATTATATATATATATATATATATATATATATATATATACTAGATGACCCGACAGACGTTGTCCTGTACCCACATGCAGGTTTTTTTAATATCCTATACTAATATTAAACGTTCAGTTAAAAATAATAATTATTGTTTTTCGAATTACTATTTACACCAATATATGAGGGATGTGTTAAATGTAGAACTGCTTCAAATTAAATGATGATTCTCAATTCCCACAGTTAACAATTTAATTATTCCTTTAACAAATAATAAAATATGTTCGATAAAATTGTATATCAAAAATTATACACTGCAATTTATAGAACAAATTTATTTCTAATTGCTCAATTTATTTTAATGCCAAGGGTTATACAATATTTTTAGTCATACCTGTAGATGTGGATGTATAAATGAATGATTTTTTATTTATTCACGACTAAAACATTGATTTTCCAAATTTATCACACGAAAAATCATCGTATGCCTTTGTGATGTATTTATTATAATATATTCAAGATACACGTGTCGAAATTTTTCTACCCAAAATAATTGCTTCAATAATGTTGCCTATAATTTTTATAATTTTGTACCATATTTTAACTGGCTTTTAGTAATTTTAATATCTAAATTACATTTTTCTCACTAATAATTCAATATACATTATAACTTAAGTTCATATTTAAAGTGAATTAATTTGTCAAATCGTGTTCACATGTGCTCTATTCAACCTACGATCAATAAAATTATTGCAGTAAATGCAGAGGAAAAAGCGGGTGCCCTGTGAATTTTTTACTGTGCTCTAATTTTCTTGATATTTTGGAAATAGACTAATCTTAATCTTAAGTTCAGAAGTGAAAACAATTTGCACTCTTTCATCACCTCCGGTATTAATTGGATTATAACTCTTTTAATTTTGATTTTATCAGAACTTGTAATATACTATTTTAAAGGTAATGGCAATTGACAGTCTTTTCAATGCCAAACAATGCCTCAAATATTTTTAATATCAATGAATGATAAGCGGTTTTTTATAATTTTTAACATTTATTTCTTCAATCTAACTATATTTCTATAATTCAAAAAAATGTATAAAATTCCCATAACAAACTTCAGAAAGATTTATCAAAATCAGAATAATCGTTTAGGAGGATTATCCTTTCATGTACTATTACAGAAGTATTTTAACGCTCAAATTCATTATTATTATTATTATTTAGTTAGAAAACGTTTGTATGTGAAAAAGAAAAGGGTTGTTTTTAGGGTTTTGCCGGCAATTATTAGATTTTTTTTTCGCCGTAAGAACTATCCTTAGACTTGAACGAACATTTAAAAAAAAAAGAATTGGCCAAATTGGTCTAGGCGTTGTTGAGTTATGCGCTTACCAACACATTTTGCGATTTTTTTAAATATTAAAGATTGGTTGATTTTCACCAAATCATCATTCTAAAATTTAACAATAGTCTTTTTGATCTAATGTTATTTACATTATTCTTTTTTAGACAAATGCGATTCCTCGAGCGAAGTCGATTTATGTGACGTATCAGATGGCATGAACTCCTTCACAGCCAGAATTTCTGCAGATCGTGTAATTGCTGCTATGTTGGGCGTCAAAAATGGTGATGTCAAGGAACAACATAAAAAAGGTAAACTAGTGGTGTATGGCATCGTGCCTTAAGGCAAATTGCTGGAAGTTCCCGTACCGTAATGAAATATTCGAGATATTTTAAACGTTAATAACAAATACTGTAAGGTTAATTATTTTTGCTATCTTGTTATATCTGAGCAAATCAAATGTAAATCATAAATCATAAATCAATTTATCTCCAGAACATTAACAATCGTCATTTCATTTTGAATTCAATTTTTAAAAAAAGAGTGCGCGTAAGGATCACACGCGATTGAAGTAAAACTTATTTGCTACTGTACAAAGTAGCAAATTTAAGTTAAGTAAAAATAAATACATCATATAACAATTTGGAATAATGTTTATTAGTAATATGGTAACACTCGTGATGCACACATTTATTAGTGTCGTCAATCATTATACACATTTTATAATGATAAATTATAAATTATATATTTATGATTGCATTAAAAATATGAATAATATTTACAAACAATAATGCAATCAAAGTCGTACTTGAAATATGACATGATCGTTTTAAAGTAATTGCTGATTAATAAATTCTATAATATTCATTCACACAATGGATTATGTTAAACAACGCCTAAACAAATATTGTTTTTGCAAATTAACTCATCCTGTAACAATTGTGTTTGAAGAACTTCATGTAATTAAAATTAACATACATTCATTTACTTTTACTTTATTTTTTTTTACTTTTTCGCTGATGATATAATCTCATTCCTTGAACAGCTGTAATATCCGTCTTGCCTAACAAATTGAAGCCATACTTTTATATTTGTTTTGCTTGATCTATGAATCATTTGCTTTTTTATGTGAACGTTAATGCAATGATCATCATCAATATTACGAGGTAATAAATTAACCATATTATTAATGCCAACAGGCACATTTATAATTTGGTCAAATATTCCAAATTGTCCATTTGCATGTCTCAATCGTCTAATTTGCATGAAACGCAACCTAGGTGAAATTAACCTTTCAGATACAATATCTAGTTTAGGTAGATGGGAATTTTACCCGAATTTAATACCTTTCAACAAGTTTGACATCCAACCTGATTATTTGAATCAATATTCAAAAAAACATTATCAAGAATTTGTTTTTGAGCATCATTTGATATTTCTAAGTCACTTTGAAACCAAAGTCGATCACACACAAAACATACATAGCCAAAGCTGTCATTTGTAAATTGTTTTTCAAACAATTTTCGTAGCTTGGCGGCATTTTCACATTTTTCAATAGTTTTCAATAGTCACATAATTGGAAAAGTACATAAACAGTCTAAACGCACTTGGATAAACATTTGTATCAGGGTGGCGCTTAGACTGTTCTTAGCCTGGGCAATTTTTTGAATTTCTAATCCAAAACTACAAAAATATTTTGTGGACAATAAAACAAGATGTAATAATTTTTTATCCTCAAAATCAATTGTTTTGTCAATACAAGCAGAAAGTTTTTTAGATCATTCTGCTTGTCAGTAGAGTCCCTTTTGTCCTAATATTTTCATTTGCTCAGTAGAGTCCCTTTTTCTTCTTTATATTTTCATTTGCTCGTCAGTAGAGTCCTTTTTTATAATATTTTCATTATGCTTATCAGTAGAGTTTCTTTTTCTTACAATATTTTCAATTTGCTCGTCAGTAGGGTCCATTTCTTCTAATATTTTTATTTGCTTGTCAGTAGAGTCTTTTTTTCTAATATTTTCATTATGCTTGTCAGTAGAGTTTCTTTTTCTTCCAATATTTTTATTTGCTTGTCAGTAGGGTCCCTTTCCTCCAATATTTTTATTATGCTTGTCAGTAGAGTTTCTTTTTCTTACAATATTTTCAATTTGCTCGTCAGTAGGGTCCCTTTCTTCCAATATTTTTATTTGCTCGTCAGTAGGGTCCCTTACTTTCAATATTTTTATTTGCTTGTCAGTAGAGTCCATTCTTTCTTTTTGTATTTTTATTTGCTTGTCAGTAGAGTCAATTTTTTCTAATATTTTCATTATGCTTGTCAGTAGAGTTTTATTTCTTACAATATTCACAATTTGCTCGTCAGTAGAGTCCCTTTTACTTTCAAAACGTTTTAAGCAAAATTTTTCCTGTCAGTAGACTCCTTTTTTCTAATATTTTTATTTGCTCGTCAGTAGAGTTCTGCTTCCAATCATTACAAATTGAATGATTTCTAGATAATTCAAATCCAATACCCCGTTCTTTCACAAACTCGATTTCTATCTTCTGCACTCTTTGCTCCGTATCTCCGTAACGGCTGGACCTGCCTTTGCCAAAAACTAATCAGCACATCTCCCTATCAATAGGGATTGAATGATGTTTAAACCATTCAAATCGGTTGATCCGTGCGCCCGAAAACGTGGACAAAAAAATGCGGACATACGAAACACACACATCCATTTAGTTTCTGAGGTATGCCTTAAAAATGTTCAGAAACCTTCAAAACGCCGAGAAATGCAAAAATTTTTAGTTTCGATTTTCGGCCCATTACTATAATTACCCTACGGGAAGTTAAATACACCTAAGTCTGTTTTTACACGGTCTTTTTGTACACGGTTTTGATATAACACGGTCTGAAAATTGAATATTTTTAATTTTTTTATACGATTTTATTCCATCTATCACGATTTGAAATTTTATGTACTTAATTTTTTTTTGTCAAATTTAATTTTTGCGAAGTACTCGTATGTTCATATAACAAAAAAGTGTTTATGAAAGAAAAAAGTCTGAAACCATCGATAGTATCGATAGTTTGCGAAAACTAGCTTAAAGATTTAAGTGAATTCCCCTTTAGCGCGTACAAACAATTTTTACTGGTCAAAGCAAATGTGAATAGCACTAATTTAGGGGAATACCCTAAAAATTCTTGTTTTTCACTAATTTTAATAGGTTTTAGAGATTATGAACAAATCACCCATTTTTGTATAAGATCAATGTTTTTTTTTACACGATTTTTTTTACACGGCTTCTCCTGGAACCAATCTACCATGTAAAAATAGACTTAGGTATATAGACTTTTTTTGCAACGCCCTGAACACTGGTCTTCGCCCAGTCCTGGTAATTAATAGGAAGATATTTCTATATTTTATAAAAATGTATTGAAATATGTGATTATCAAAAGTATACAAAATGTCATGACATAATTAATTTTTTTCCTCTAATTATTAATGTTTGTTTTTATTCCCCCAGCGTTGACTTCCTACGACCACTGGACACGCCTAGAAGTCCGTGACCAGGACCAGAATTTTGTAGGATGTCTCCTAAATACATCAATGAGCATCATAGGACGTCCTGGTGGAAGTTGTGCTAATATCCAGGATGACCTTCCCACAAATCCTGGACGTGACCAAGTAGACTGCCCAATGGTGGATCCAAATGAGATGACCATGGTGCAGGAGGATGGTGGTAAAGCTGGATTTAGTGTCCAGCCGAAAAAAGGTAGACAGTTGGTATATTTACATATTGTCAACCAGTTTTATATGTATATTTTATCAGGTTCGATATGGTCAATCGCGTATCCTGGCTTTGCTGAATGATCCTGTTACATCACAAGATTGCGTCGAAGTTTTTGTCGAAAAGAGCGAATCTGGTGAGATGGTGAGGGCTCAGCAAATACGCAAACGGAATCCTTATACTGTCCAATTCACAGTACCAGGTACTTATTAAAAGTTAAGGTTTGCAAAAAACAAGAATTTGTTCTCAGTATTTTGAAATAAAACTTTTTTGGCGCGACATGGGTGTAAATCCGTACAAATGCAACGGAAATTGTTACGCCAACGTGAAGTGAGAGTCGTTCGCTCTCGATGATATGATTTCTATACGGGTCGATTCTGATTGGTCATCGGAAGAATATTTTATCCCGTCCCCCAAAAATAATTGCAGTGCAAATAATGAAAAACCCATGAGGCGCAAACTTCTAACAAATGTCAGTCATCGACTTTATACGTGCGTACGTCACCGAAAGCATGAAGCATAGTGTTCAAATTACCGGTGTTATGTCAAAACTTTTTTAAGATTAAATATGTAGAAGTATAAATTGTGAGTTAATAAAAAATGTCAGGATCGGAAGAATATTTTATCCCGTCCCCCATAAATAATTGTAGTGCAAATGATCGCAAATAATGACATATGAAAAATCTCCGCTGCGTAAGAAATGTAAGTTTATTGAAGTAATTTGTATTATTCGAGTTATTCGAGGTTACTATATACCTTTGAGGTTATTACTAAAATAGAAAATATTTTTACAAAAGACAGATACGATTACGTGATAAGTGAAATTGTGGAAACAATATTTCTTTATTGGAAATTTAACGTAAGTTTTCATGTTTCTCTTTTATGATGGCTATGGAGACTAAATTTAATTTATTTTAATAGTAATTATAAATATTGATGCAGGTTTAAAGCCTCTTACAAACTCTGAAAGATCAAGATTACATCGTCAAACAAAACAACTTGAGGAAAATAATCGGTTTCTGCCAATTTGTTAGAAAATCTTGAGAGAGGTATCAATTTAGATGTTAATGTCAACACCAATGACATAAATAAGAATCTTTTCAAGCTATTTGACTCCTGAAAAACACTACAACTAATCACATTTAAACATATTATTCTGTTATCTTTTTAAATGAAAGTACCGCTGTTACTTTTTCTGATACAGCAACTACATCACGTCAATTGTAAATTGATAATTCTGTATATAATGTGACAAGAAATGATCTTTTGCAAGAGTCAAATGAAGTATTTGAATTTCCATATAAAGACTTCAATTTGTTTAGGAATGCACGAAAATTGTTTGAAAAACAATTTACAAATGATAGCTTTGGCTATGTATGCTTTGTGTGTGATAGACTTTGGTTTCAAAGTGACTTAAAAATATCAAATGAAGCGCAAAAACAAATTCTTAATAATGGTTTTCTGAATATTGATTCAAATAATCAGATTGGATGTCAAACTGGTCGAAAGGCATTAAACTTGGGTAAAATTCCCACTTTGTGTAAATTTAACTGGTTTGTATTTCCACCTGTACCAAATTATCTACCCAAACTAGATACTGTATTTGAAAGGTTAATTTCACCTAGGTTGTGTTCCATGCAAATTAGACGATTGCGACATGCAAATGGACAATTTGGAATATTTTTGGCCAAATTATAAATGTGCCTGTTGACGTTGATAATATGGTTAATTTACTACCTTGTAATATTGATGATAATCATTGCATTAACATTCACATAAAAAAGAAAATGATTCATAGATCAAGCTTGATAAATAAAACAGATATAAAAGTATGGCTTCAATTTTTTAGGCAAGACAGATATTATAGCTGTTCTAAGAATGAGATTATATCGTCAGCGAAAAAGTAAAAAAATACAAACAGTAAATGAATGTATGTTAATTTTAATTACATGAAGTTCTTCAAACACAATTGTTTCAGGATGAGTTAATTTGCAAAAACAATATTTGTTTTGGCGTTGTTTAACATAATCCACTGTGTGAACGAATATTATAGAATTTATTAATCAGCTATTACTTTAGACCGATCATGTCATATTTCAAGTATGACTTTGATTACATTATTGTTTGTAAATATTATACATATTTTTAATGCTATTATAAATATATAATTTATAATTTTATCATTATATAAATGTGTTTAATTGTCAACACTAATAAATATGTGCATCACGAGTGTTACCATATTACTAATAAACATTATTCCAAATTGTTATATGATGTATTTATTTTTACTTAACTTAAATGTGCTACTTTGTACAGTAGCAAATAAGTTTTACTTCAATCGCGTGTGATCCTTACTCTTTTTTTATTTTTCTAGATCTTTGTATGACCGAATCTTGTCTTCTGAGTATTCAACTACGAATCAACGGCAAGTCCATGGGTTCAAGGCCGATAAAATGCGAGGCAAGGTGTCGGGAATTTGAAAGAATTCTCAGAGAATGCCTAGATCGTCCTGATGGGCTCTGGGGTCTTTTGGGACTTCCTGGAAATTTGCAAGATCGCGATAGATTAGACGCTGCTTTGTGCAGAGCCTTGAGGGAAAATATCCCTCAGGACTTCCAACTGTTGGCTGGACCTGGTGTTGACGATTTAGGATGCACAGGTAAAACGGATTTACACAAAATTTGAATAATTTTCAAGATAATAATTTTATTCTTTGCCAGGAATTTTACCAGAATGTCCATCTCTACTGCACTTTTGTGCCAGGTATGGGTTGGAACGTACAGCCATGCGTTTGCTGGATTGTCCAGGAGGTGGTTTTAGTGGGACAACTTTAGATGCATCAGGACGTAGTCCTGCAGAACTTGCAAGTCAAAATGGACACCATAGACTGGCATCTATTCTACAAGGCTACATGGTAAGTCAAGTAAATATTTGTTGACAATATATATATATATATATATATATATATATATATATATATATATATATATCAAAGTCATCATTAATTTCATGAAAAGTAATTCTATACAGTTTTAGAATCTTTCGTTAGTTATATTTCTTCTCTGTTTCTCTTTCCCCTTTCGTTTCTCACAACCCGCTCCCACTCCTTCACTACACGTGCGTGACTACACTGCGTTGTAACCTTGATCATTGTCCACAATGCACGGCTATCAATAACATTAAATATAGGAGGGCAAATATGTGCTCCTTCTATTTTTCGTTTGTTAATATAATAGTATTTTATTATTTTACACAAATTTATAATATAATATAATTAATTTTTTCTTTTGTTTTTCCTGGTTTGGTATGTATGTAAATAAAAGAAACAAATAAATACAATTATTTATTTATAATATACGTTTCGACACGGATTGTGTGTCATCATTCAGCAATTCTTTGTTAACAGTATCTAAAAAATTTACAAAATTTAAATAATAAATTTAATTTTATATTTAAAATAATTAAAAGGTATTATGTATTCCTTTATTGCTAAATCTGTTCTTATTACTTTAAACCACCATTGCGTTAATAAACGAAATTCTGCTCTTATAACAATATTATCATTATTTTCAAAAAATAATTTTCCAAATCTTTGACTATTGTTTTTCATGTTCTATTCGATATGTTTTATTTCCCAAATTTGTATCCACACTGTTTAACTATCCCTGAACATCCCTTTCCAAACACTTCTTTTGTGTCACGTGACTTTTCATTTTGTTTCCATTTGCTCATAACTACATTACACAAATTTTCAGTTTTAAAATTGAAAACAAAACATGTTCAGTTAATATTGTTTATTTTTCTATATTTATTTTATATGTAATGTATGATTGGTTTTTCTATATGTATTTATTCAAAAAATGCTTTTTTCCTGGTGTGGTATGTATACCTTTTAATTATTTTAAATATAAAATTAAATTTATTTTTTAAACTTTGTGAATATTTTTTAGATACTTTAGAGTGCCATAAATACAAAAAGTCTATTTTCATACTAACATTTCAAAAAAGTATTAAATTTTATTAAAGATAATCTGTCCAAACCATTTGACAATTGACGTATGAGCCGCCCTCCATTTTTTCATTTTAAATTAGGCTTCTACAAAAAAAAATTAAATTAAAAATGTAAAGTTTCTACGCAGTTTTGAAACAATTTCTCACCTCTCCCACAATCTCTGGATTAGCACGAATATTTCTAGACTAAAAGTGGCCAAATCGGTTCAGACGTTTTAGAGTTTTAGCGAATCTAACATAAGGAGCTCAGATATATATTAGAGAATTTAAAACACGATTTATTAGATAATAATCACTAGAAAAAAAAATTAATTACAAGGGTTTTATTAGATAAATATTATGCTGTGATATTAGTAAGGATGTACTAAAAAAAATGGATAAATTAATAAAGGGATTATTTTGTTAATATAAAATGCAAATTTAATTTTAAAATGCAGTGTTCATATATAGTATTTGATATAGTCAAAAACTGTTGTAAGTTGTTTAAAAACCTCGTAGGGTTTTCTTCGGATATCGTAAATGTTTTAAACGTTGGAATTTCTAAGAATGTTGTAAATTGTCTAAAAATGTTACAAAATTTTCTCTTTTAAAAATTTGGTAAGTTCTCCAAAAATATTGCAGAGTTTTCTAAGAATGTTGATTAGAGAAAGTTACTTCTTCAAGAAGAAATGACTCTGATTTAAATTAATATATACAATAGTATGAAAATGTAAATTAATATATACATTAGACAAAAGATTACAGAATACTTTTCTGGGAACCATAGCAGACTGATAAGATCCCAAATGCTATAGAAATGATATTATTTCAAGAACCAAAGCGCTTTCATCTATCTTTTATATTTGGCTATATTTGTCATTTTCCATTTATACAGTGAAAACCGACTTTTTTTTCTAAAAAACCGGTTTTTGAAAACCGACAAACCCTATTAAGAACGTTGCAAAGTGTGTTTTTTTTCTATTTATTTATTTGATATAATTCATACATACTGTATCTCAGTCAGACAATTGTTCTGGTATGAGAGATCACAGCAATTATAACAAAAACAAAATCTAAAAAAAAAACAAAACGTGTTGCAAAACATTTGTAAAAATGTTGTAAATTGTCAAAACGATCTTTTACCAAATGGTATTAAAATTCTTGTCTTTTTCAGCAAATGAATGAACTGAGTTCCATGTATGCCTATTTGAAGGGAATCAGTGGAAACAGACGTGTCTCGTCGCGAAATTCGGAGTCCCAAGAAGACGCAATGGGATATCTGGATATGACAACAAATTCCAGAAGATCTAAAAAGGATTCTATAAACTTGAATGTCGATAACGATAATACAGATGATTCTATGAGTGAACAGTGTTGTAGGTTGTTGGAAGAAGACGGTCCAAGGGCTACAAGTGATGCTTTGACATCGGAAGAGGTGGGAAAACAATATATAAATTTGTGTGGTTGTAGTTGGTGTCGATGCTACTAAAATTGTTTTTTGGTTTTAGGACAAATCTATCAGGAGTGTTAGCAGGGGCACAAATGCATCTTGTGGTGACTATGCTAATGCTTGTGCACATCCTGATGCCGATTATTGTCTTCAACCGTCTAATATACCTGTGCCAACCCTGGACTTGACACATAGAACTACATCAGTTGCAGGTAAAATTAAATTTTCTTATTAAAAAAATCGAGACTTTCCGTAGAATAAGTTATAGTGATCGCAAAAAAATCGAAAATGAAATTTTTTATATATCTTTACGTTTCAAAGGATTCTGAACATTTTGTCATACCTAAGAAAAAATGGATGTTTGTGTGTGTGCGGATACAAATTTTTGTCGACGCGGATCAACTAATTTGAATAATTCAAAAAACATTCGATTCGTATTGACAAAGAGACGTGCTGATTAGTATTTGGCGAAGGCAGGTCTAGCCGTTCCGACGATACGGCGCAAAAAGTGCCAAAAACGGTAACTCAGTTCTTAAGAGAACGGAGCGCCCGATTCTAATAATTCAATAGGCATTTTATTTGTGTTGACAAAATGAAGAACTGATTAAATTTTTGGAAAGGCAGGTCCAGCGGTTATGGACTCTCAATAAAAATAAGTTAAAAAAATGCCTTTTGGCGGCCAAAAATGTTTTTTGGACATATGTACATCAAATTATCAGATATTTTATAGAGATTTTAATAATAAGTACGAGTGTAATTTTTTTTGGGTTCCGTACCAAGATTTTTAATTACGGTGCAAGAAGTTCAAGCAATTTGCCTTAAGGCACGATGCCATGCACCCCACTAGTTTTTTTGCATATATTTAACGTTTTGCGACAAAAAATTATGTATGTGTGTGATTTTTTTTTTGACTAGGTCTTTTGTCTGGGTATATCGGGCTTACCCAGACAAAAGACTCAATCTCTTGTTTTTTGTGCCCATGAGAACCGCCGTTGAGCATTACTTAAGTAATGAATATTATATCCTCCCTATGAATTCACAGGGGGAGGATCTAGAATGCTATGATTCTCTCTGTATATATGCGTTTTAATTTAATAATTCATAGGAGAAGGATCTAGAATGCTATGATTTTCTCAGTATATATACGTTTTAATTTAAATAAAAAAATTAAATGCAATTTTTTGCATATATTTAACGTTTTGGGACAAAAGTTTATGATCATGTGATTTTTTCCTTGACTAGGTCTTTTGTCGGGGTATATCGGTCTCCATACCCAGACAAAAGAGTCAATCTCTTGGCTCTCCTGCCCATGAGAACCGCCGTTGAGCATTACTTCATAGGGGGAGGATTTGAATGCTATGGTTCCCTCATTTAAAGAAATTTAAAATAATAATAAGCGTTTTAATTTAAATAAATGAAAATAAAAAAATAAAATGGAATTTTTAAGGTATTGATACAAACATTTATATAGGTGTGTGATTTTTTTTCTCGACTAGGTCTTTTGTCTGGGTATGGAGTCCGACATACCCAGACAAAAGACTTAATCTTTTGGCTTTTGTGCCCATGAGAACCGTCGTTGGGCATTACTTCTTGGGGGGAGGGTCTAGAATGCTATGATTTTCTCTGCGTTTTAATTTAAAGAAATAAAAATAAAGAATAAAATAGAATTTTGTGCATATTTTTAAAGTTTTGAGAGAAAAATTTGTGATCATGTGATTTTTTTCTTGGCTAGG